AGGGGACTGGATTGAATCCTAGTCCAAAGAGGGGAGGGTAAAATCTAGGAAGGGTAAAGTTTAGAACAAAGAGGGGAGATGGAGAGAGAGAGAGAGAGCGGGGATGTTTGGAGATGGTTACTTATGCGTGTTCCTGAACTGACAGAGTACCCTAAGATAAATATGGAATAAATTGTAATGTTTGAATTTTTTGTTCCTCAACATTGTCGCTTATTAATAGTAGTAATATATATATATATAAACACATGGTTTTGGGGAGCTTAACACACTTTTCTAAAACTTCTTCTTCCTTCTTTACACGTGGAAGACGTAGAAGAAGATAACAAACGACTCCTAAAGAAGAAAATAATTAGCAGCAAAATAAGGGTGTTTCACCTCACAAGGAAGAACCGATCTTGCAGTTTCCAAAGTCAAAAGAGGAATGTTGGCCAGCATTTTCCTAGGCAGATGTTAAACACTATAATTTTGATATGCCACCGGCATTACCATGTAAGAAAAAAACGGAAAAATATTTCAAATATGTCATCGAACTTAATTAATGTAATGCTCTATTTATGCCACTCGTTAATAGTAAAACATAAATATGCCACCGGCATTACCATTTTAGCCATATATGCCATTACCCACTAGAGGAATCTTATTACTATTTGATTTTGCTATGGCGTTATCTAAATCTTTCATTACTTACTCGCCCCTCCCCTTATCCCTTTTACGAGTGGCATATATGAGCCATTAGTTAAGTTTAATGGCCTATTTGAGCCTAACTTATGTTTATTTTCTGTTTATCATTCGATTCATGGAATTCAACCTTTTAGAACCATATTCCTGGAGGTTATGTAACAAACTTATAAGGACAAATTAGTACAATTATTATCTTACATGAAAAAACTATGCTCACTTATATAATTGGTTTATGAATCTAATCTTATTCTATATCATTCAAAAATTTACATACTTTATGGCTCTTAAAATGATTTTAAAAAACACAGAAAATTTGTTTAAGAAAAAAGAAAGACGGGCGTAAAGAGAGTACACTAATGAGGTGCAGTTGGATATGAAAAATACATATGAGTGTGTGAAATAAGAGCATGTATGTATTTTCATGGTGAAATTTGGGTATGACAGTGGTTTCCACAGGGTGATGGCGTCAGAAAATAACATGAAATTTGTTTTTAAGAAAAATTAAAAAATAGATGGGCTTAAAAGAGAATACACTAATGAGGCATAACTCAGTATGGAAAGTACATACAAGTGAGTGAATTAAGAGTATGTATGTATTTTCATTATAGATATTTTGGGGTGCTACGGTCGTTGGTAGGTTCATGGTTCGGTTTGGATAGATTTTTCTCTAAAAAGAAATCAAATTAAAGTCAGTTTTTTATCGATGTGGTATATGTTGGTTTTCCGGTTTTTCTGATTTTTTATCGGGTTTTTTGTTAAAGATGAGACATATTCCGGCGACTACATTTCAACATAACACTATCAAACCAATTGCTCTTTAAGGAGTCTATCATTTACCAATATATATTGATGATAATTGAATTAAATAGTGATGAATAATTTAAAAACTCAATTAAAAATAAATTATTTTTAACATAAAATAGATTCTCGTACTTAGCAAAAGAAAAATACAACTAGAATGTAAAAGCAAAGAACTAGATTATTATAATAGTAAAGACTAGAAAGTACAAACATTAACATGTACCATAAAATTTAACTACTTTGTATAAAATATACATACATATAGGTATAATAATATATTTTAAATAGCCACTATGATAGGTGGTTTGGTTCTGATTTTTCGGTTATTTTTTTATTATAACCAAAACCAAATCAAATCTTTTCGACTTTTAAAATTCAAAATCAAAACCAAATCAAACCAAAAAGTATCTATTTTTTTTTTGCTCTGTTTGGCGATTTTCGATTTAATTTAATTTTTCGGGCTTTTATGAGTTCCCCTAGTAGTCGGGATGTGGTGGTGGCTTGGAAAAAGGACATAAAATTTGTTTAAGCAAAAAAAAAAAGGACAGGTTTAAAAGCGAGTACACTACTAGTAACCAGTACTCATTGACTTTCGAGTTCATTTCGAGTGTTTCGAAGTCGTGCATACGAATTAAATGATTATATCAATATTTTTGTGAGTTAATGTACATGCTAATTTTGTAGAATTTTTTTATTACAGACTCTTATATGCCTGAAATTTTATGTCTATCAGAAATGACCTAATGAACAATACTCATTGCTTTGCCACGATTGTTCCTTATTTTTTGACATTACACGGCCATTAATAGGAATTGAGGAATATTTTCAATTTTTCTTGTGCTATAGTCCAGCCATCTGTATGAAATTAGACGACTGGATCCGATTCGCCTCAAATTTTGAGGGCCCGTCATAAATGACCTTATGAACAATAGACATCACTTCGCCATGACCGTTCCTCATTTTTTTTTTGGTATTTTAGGGCTATAAAACAGGAATTCAACACGATTTCTGATTTTTCATGTGCTATTGTCCGCGCCATCTGCATGAACTCGGGGAACCGACTCCAACTCGCCTGAAATTTTGCGTGCCCATCAAAAACGACCTAATGAACAATAGTCATCGCTTCTCCATGACCATTTCTCATTTTTTGGTATTTTCAGACCATAAAATAGGAATTCAGGATGATTTCCGATTTTATAGTCCACACCATCTGCATAACTTCGAGCGAGAAATTGGATATGATCTCGTATTCCTGTTTTATGGCCCTAAAACGCCAAAAAATGTGAAACAGTCATGGAGAAGTAATGACTATTGTTCATTATATTATTTTTTATGGGCCCACAAAATTTTCTACGATTCGGAGACCACTGCTCGAATATCTAAAATTGGCGTGGACATTAGCATACGATAAATTGGAAATCGTCCTAAATTCCTGTTTTATGGCCCTAAAATGCCAAAAAATAAGGAACGGTCATGGCAAAGCAATGAATATTGTTCATTATATCGTTTCTGATCGGCCCAGAAAATTTTATGCGATTAAGAGCCCGTCGCCCGAATTCATGAAGATGGCATGGATATTAACACAAGAAAGAATAAAAGCGTCTTGAATTCCTGTTTTATGGTCCTAAAATGACAAAAACTAAGGAATAGTCATGGCAAAGCAATGACAATTGTTTATTAGATCGTTTCCGATAGTCCCACAAAACTTTTGGCGATTCGAAGCTTATAGCATGAATTCATGAAGATGTCATGGACATTAGCACACAAAAAATTTGAAATCGTACTGAATTCATGTTTTATGGCCTGATGATAGGCTATAATTGCATATTTCAGTCGCTTATTACACTCGAATTTACTGCACTTTAATTGAGTTTGCGCTTTAATCGCTAGTGTTTTGCACTAATTGTGTGTTTTATGCCTTGTAGGTATGATTCCGAGCTATATAGATGTTATGGAATGAATTTAAGTGATTTGAAGCTTTGAAGTCTGAGTAAAAGCTCAAGGAATTAAGCCAGGATCGTGTTCGGGGGTCAAATTTGATAATTAAGTACGAACGAAGACTTGAGGAGGCATATTGTGCACTGTCTAGTAAAATAGACATAACTTTTTGCTCAGAACTCCATTTGGGCTCCACAATATATGGTTGGAACGCTAACTCAAAGGGCTACAACTTTTATGTTTTACGTTTTTCCAAATTCCATGGCAGAACCGCGGTAGAAGATGGTCGCGGACAACTGAAGAATCAGAGGGCATGTTTGGCCGCGGTTCCACCGCGACCGCGGCAGGAAGCGAAAATTTCAGGGACTAAAGTGCAAAACATGGGATTTTAAGTCCTAAACCCTATATTAAACAAAGGAGGCCGGCCAAGAGCAAGAGGCGGACATATTTTGGACACAAATTAGACCTAAGGAGGCGGAGAGACACTACTTTAGGGTTAGACAACACCCTTGGAGGCAAGAACACATTGAGAGCAAGGCGGAGAATTCTTCTACGAGTTTTTCCTTCCTCTTCCTATTTTTCATTGTTGGTTATGACTTTTAGTATCGTAGTTTTACATATTTTTATGAGTAGCTAAATACTTTAGTCTAAGGTTTTGATGGAACCTATTGAAGGATGAACTTCTTGATTATGTTAATATAGTTTTCCAGTTAATCTCTATTTGTTCAACTACGTGTTTGTTGTAGTTAATTGACAGGATCCTCAATTAGCTGTGCCTATTTAGTGCGCATAACTCGGGAGAGAGTGTATATTTAGGTAATTGTTGAACAACACCACTCCCAACGTATAAGAGGGATCTATAACTGCGGGTTTAAAGGCGGGATTAGGGATAACGAAGCCTTGGGTGCAATCTAAAGTGAGCTGTAATAAACAAAGTTAGCTAGCGTATCTCGGGAGAGTGCGTCTAGTAAATTATCGTGATTACTCGGGAGAGATTTACGGTAAAAAGAGTGCTCATGATTGATAGAGATATTTTGGTGAATCTATCTGAAACATAACCGGAAGGGATTCCATCGATAGGGGAAATCACTACCTTAGAACCTTTTCATTATTGTTTACAACCCAAGCATATTTAGTTTACAGCTGTTTATTTACTTTCAGTCTTAGTTAGTAGAAATACCATCAACTATTGTTTACGACGTTTGGGGAAGTTGATTATAAAGAATTTAGTGATTCCAACAAAGGTAATTGATATGTTAATTCTCTGTGGGATTCGACTCCGGACTTATAAACCGGATTATATTTGCAACGACCGCATTGTTCTTTTTATAAGACATAGTTGGGCGTAATCAAGGCCGCCCCTGTATTTGGTTCCGACTCACAAAATAAAAGGCCTCGTAAAAACCGGCAAATACCTCGAAAAATATTTCCCGACTCCTGAGACCGGTCAAATATCATTAAAAAATTTGGGAAAACGACAAAAAGTCATAGGATAATAAAATAAAATAATAAGGTGATTGTTATTCCTTACATCTCCTTTGTACTTGCCTCTCCCATCTGCAGTCTAGTCGTGGCAAAGTTTAAGTGTGAGTCAATCCAGAAAACTCTCTCACTTCAATCTTACGTGTAAGCATCCTATTGGTTCCTTAATAGATGCCCCGAGAAAACCGAATCTGCTAAGAATTTTGTTTTTTCTAAATCTTTTACATTTTCAAAAGAAAGTACTAGTAAGTGTTATTTCGCTTTTAATGTATTTAATTTTTTACTAATTTTATTATCCCCTTTGTATTGTTAACTTTTCCGAAGAAGACGTAAGGATTTCGAAAAAATTTCATAGAAGTTTGTATATATATAGATAGATATTGGTACACGGGTTGTCTGTGTTTGTAAAAAGGGGGAAAAAGTTGGCTAAATTAGGGTTTGAGTGATTTTGAGGGTTTGATTCGTTGGTGGCCATGAGGAAGAGGCTCGATACCCGATTCCCTGCTGTAAGTCTCACCCCCACCCTACCCCATCAACCCACCCCACCCCCACCCTTTCTCTTTCTGTTTAGTTATTTCTCTTTCTGTTTACGTATTATTCTGTTAGTGTTTTTGATTGTCTATTCTGTGTTTTTTTTGTTTTTTTCTTAATTCAGAGAAGTAACTGGGGTTTTGTAAATTTGAAACTTTAGAGGCTTTATTATTTTCCTGGGGGGGGGGGGGGGGGTAGGGGAGGTAAAGCTTTGAGCTTTTGATGTATTGGTGATCTTTGTGAGGTTATTGAATGAATAGAACTCTCAAATTGGTAGTGTTGGATGTCTACTATTTACTTGTTGGGGGAAAAACTGATTATGAAGGTGGAGCTTGAGTTTGACTTTTTGTTTTGGTTCCTGGGACTTGCCTTGTGTTCATGCTTTATGTCCCCCACCCCCCCACCACCACCACCACCACAAAAAAAAAAAAAAAAACAAAAGAGAGAAAAAGGGTTGAAGAAAAGAACATCTTTTTTTGTAGGAGTTGAGGTACATGAAGTATGAATTTCTGGTCTCTTTGATCCAGTGGTTAGGACATCTTATTAGTAGAGGAAGAAATATGACCATGCTTAAGCCGTCAGCGGTCCATCATATGTTTTGAAGGTATAATAAGTTGTTCCTATTTGATAGGTAGGTATAATAAGCTGTTCTTTCGTCTAGCGGTAAGAGTGCAGCACAGCATGTTAGGGGTTTAAACCATGCCTGAGACAAAGGCCTGGTGATTAAGTTAAGGGTAGAGGTGTGAGCCCATTATCCATCAGGTTTTGAACTGTGTGCCGTTGGCCTTTGGTAATTTCTCGGTTACTAAAATGTTGTTCCTGATAATTATTGGACCACATTTTTGCTCGTCGTTCTGCAACCTGCTCAGAAGCAATACCTTGAATTGGTTTAGTTGAAGAGGCTAGTAACTTGGCATATGTAGCTTTTTTTGCTAATTCAGCATTTGTATTCAATTGGGCTACCTGTCGATAGGAAGGGGGTAAGAGTACCGTGATGCTAACCTTGTGAATGACCCTCTAAGTATGAAAGTTTATGTTGGTCATCTTATTCATCATGCAGGTATAGATGTTCTTGGGTGGAAATTGTTTTAGTTGACTGGTTATAGTACTTTAATATCATAGAGCTGGTACCTGCCGGTCATTGCTTTGACTGAGATAAATTACTTTTTTGCTTGCCTTTGGGACATTAATGAGTCTTCTGAGCTATATACTAACTGATGCTGATCTTATCTCAACTCTGATTCTTTTACCTGGAAAGTGGAGGGTCCTTTCTGTCAGTTCTTTGAAGTTGTAAATGTAGCTCTACAACTGATATTCACCTGTAACGTGTAATTGGGTAGAGATGCATGATAGAATTGTTAGTTGCATATCACTTGTTAAATGCAGATATATAATAAAAACTAAATGTGGGAAATGCACATGAAACAAAAGCTCTATCTGAGAGTTTTATGTGGATTGCCTGTGATTTGGTGTTACATGGTAGTCTGTTTCTCTCGTGGTTCAACAATATTTGTACTGATATTTGGTTTCAAGAAAGATTTTTTGTGATTGTAATTTGAGAGTTTAGCTCTTTTTATTATTTTAAATTATTTGTATGGTGACATCTGAACGTGAATGAAACTGCTTACAAGTTTCATGAGCTCTTGTTGTATGGACTATTGTTTCTGTTCATTAAGTTACTGAATCAAAGTTTCTAACTGTTCTAATATTCATTGGCATTTATTTGCAGGCGCGGATTAAAAAGATTATGCAAGCCGATGAAGATGTGGGGAAGATTGCCATGGCTGTTCCTCTTTTAGTCTGTAAGTATTTTTGGAAGTCCTTTTCACTTATTTTAGCATTTTGAATCAGCTGGTTTAAGAGCTATTACCCTTATTCGTCCTTTGCTTCTTGGTATCTATTTTTGTATGTGTTTTATTTTGTTTATCCTAACTTGTATTTTATCAACGGTTATATTCAGCAAAAGCTCTTGAGCTCTTTCTGCAAGATCTTTGTGACCGAACATATGAGATCACCCTCAAGAAAGGAGCAAAAACTATGAATTCATTCCATTTGTAAGTTCAACGAACCATTTTTATACACATCATACCAGTTCTCTGGCTATCATCTAACTCAGTCCCTGTACTTCATAGGAAGCAATGTATCCAGAACTTTAATGTGTTTGATTTCCTCAAGGATGTAGTGAGCCGGGTTCCTGATTTAGGCGGGTCAGATGGTGGTGCCGAATCAGCTACAAAAAGAAGGTAAAAAAATTGTGCTTCCCATTTTCTTGCCCGTGATGGGTTTTACAGGGCGATGAATTTGTATCGTTAACAGCTGACTGTTCGCTGATGCAGGAAAGTTGTTGAAGAAGATGATCATGACATTGATGATGATATCAAAAGGAGTAGTCGCATGGTATGGATATTATTTCTTTTAGATAATGTTGGGTTTAAAATTTGGGTTTTCCATAGTTGATGGTCCATTTGTTAGTTTAGACATCAAGACCACGCTACCAACTTTTGACATACAAAGCTGTATGTGGTCTGATTTCTTCTGTGTAAAACACCAAATCAGCGCCTCCTGTATAATAGTGATTTTTTTTTCATTTTTTAATCACAGCATGAGACTGCACACACCAGCAGTAGTGGGAGGGGACGAGGCAGGGGTAGGGGTAGAGGCCGTGGTAGAGGTGCACGAGCAGTAGAGCGAGGAGACTCCAATGTTCATTGCGATAAACTTGAAGATGCTGCTGATGTTTCAAATCAAAATAATGAGAAGCAAAAGCAAAATGGTGAAAGGATGGACTATGTAGCAGAACCAGCAGATTCAAAGAACATTTCGGCTGGTAAATGCCCAGAAGTTCCTGCTAGAAACTTCGATCTCAATATTGACTTAAATGAGTGTGTGGAATCCACAGCAATACCAGCTGAAGCTCCTTCAACATCAAAAATGGCGCCTCCTGAAATGAAGCATGAGGAAATCCCTGGATGGTCCTTGTCTGAGATGGAAAAGATGGCCATTGATCCGATTCAACTGGCCAACTTAAACAGAGGGTTAGATGAGGAAGAGGAAGATTATGATGAAGAGGGATAGGGATAGTTTTTCTAATGTGTTAGAGCACTTACTAACTCACATACAAGTAGGCTTTGTTCTGGTCTTGTAGGAATTAGTTTAAGTGTAAAAGAAAAAGGGTATAGTTGTCAATGAAGCTCAGATTTCTTGGGTTTCTTTAGTTGACTTAGGCACCTGTATTTATAGTCTTCTGTATTGTTCAGCAACAGCATCTTAGGAGGCATGTATTTTATTTCTTCTAATTCAGAAATATAATCTTGGTTGGAGGGTTGCATTCAGTGTTCTCTATTTTACCTTTTCATTAATTTGCTGAGATGTGTCAGAATCTGCCGATGTGGATAGCATTCTTGACCTTTATTAATTTGAAGGACACTGATATTTTTTCAAGCGTGGTCTTATTCTTTTGTCTCATGTTCCTTTGTCTATTCCAAACACTCTGCTCTGGCCTGAGCACGTGTCTTGCTCTGTGCAGGTGGTGTTTGTAAATTATTACGACATTTTTTTTGCTTTATTTGGACAGACAGTTTTATTACTATCTAGTTGGGTTGGTTCTTACTTCTGGACAGCATCTTCTGTGTTAGTATGTATATTGTAAGAGTTCTGATTACCTCTTATGGGTCAAATGGTTTTGTGGCCCGTTACAAACTTGTTTTTAGTTTTATGACCTCATCTGGAAAATAATTGTGCATGGTTTGATTTAGTTTTGTTTTCCTTTTATGGAAGTTAAGATTTATTGATGTGATGTGGAGAATCTCCATACAAAGTTTATAATATAATAAAGAAGAATTATTTTATATTTTTCCCTTTTTCTTCTGAATTTTCACCCTTGTAGCATTGCATCAGAAATAAGCCATCCTTTTGCTCTTTCCATATCCATCAATCTCTGTTTGCAAAATGGGATTCTTTTGCTCGTACATTAGTCTAATCAATCTATTCGGAGGATATTTCTTTTGCCATCCTGCTAACTTTTTCCGAGTACAATAACAACAACAATATACTCGGTGTATTCCCACAAGTGGAAGCAGGGTCTGAAAAGGATAATGTGTACGCAGATCTTGCCCCTACCTTATGTAGGTAAAATGGTTGTTTCCGATAGACTCTCGGCTCAAGAAATTGATTCCACACGATAATGAGTTGCACCCCAGGTAATTGTTATCTTGTCAACCTTATCCAATAAAATGATCTCACATTAACTTAGGTAATTCTCAACCATGCGACTGCTTAAGAATCATTGTAGTATGCTTTCTATGGAGTTGATTCATCTCAGCATCTCAAAGATAAGTGTATCATCTGCAAATAGTAAATGGGGAAGTTGTAAAATATCTTGCCTTCTTTGTTATCTAGACAGCCTCCTATGCTCTTTCCAACTAATGCAATCTAAACACGCTAGTAAGCGAAATAGGGATGGCAAGGGGCAGGGCAGGGATTAGGGGGGCTTTTGCATATATACCCGGTATTGGGGTCACAATTGAATTTATACCCACTTTGTAAAAAAATTTGCAAGCCTACCCATTTACGATCGACTTCAGACTTATCGGTTTAAAAAAAATTAGTTTGAAGTGAAAAAATTACACTTCAGATGCACTTATGGCCAAATAGGTCTGAAGTGCAACCAATGGATTCATGCACTGAAGGCCAGTAAGTCTGAAGTGAAAAAATTACACTTCAGATGCACTTATGGCCAAATAGGTATGAAGTGCAACCAATGGATTCATGCACTTAAGGCCAGTAAGTCTGAAGTGAAAAAATTGCACTTCAGATGCACTTATGGCCAAATAGGTCTGAAGTGCAACCAATGGATTCATGCACTTAAGGCCAGTAAGTCTGAAGTGAAAAATTGCACTTCAGATGTACTTAAGACCTTTTGGCCTTAAGTGCAATAAATGTTTTCCTTCACTTAAGGCCAATAAGCCTGAAGTGAAAAATTGCATTTTAGATGCACTTAAGGCCAAAAGGTCTAAAGTGCAACCAACGTTTTCAGGGGGAAGTGCACAGTTGGCCACTAAAAACACATGTATTTACTTTTAAGCCACCGTTTAAAATGTCTTTAGTCTTTAGCCACTGCTTTAATAAACTTTAACTGCCCGGACGAAAATACCCTTCTGCTCATGTCCTTAACTTCAGGACTACATGTCCTTAACTTTTGAACTTGGAACTCTAAATTCAGGATTTCAGGACTACATGTCCTTAACTTTTGAACTTGTAACTCTAAGTTCAGGACTTCAGGACTACATGTCCTTAACTTTTGAACTTGGTTCAGAAATTAGCCTATCTTTAACAAAGCCACTTTGGTTCAAGGAGACTAATTTATGCAATAAGGTGTTTACTTTAAGAGAAACAATTTTTGAAATAATCTTATTAGTGAAATTAGATAAACTAATAGGTCTAAAGTCAGCAAAAGTAGAAGGATTGTCAATTTTAGGAATTTAAACTAAACAAATATGAGAGTAGAATTTAGTCAAACCTTTTCTTTTGAAAAACTCTTTCACAAAAGCAATGACTTTCCTTTCAATTATGTCCCAGCAATTCTGAAAGAAGGTGCCATTGAAGCCATCTGGTCCTGCAGTGCTGTAAGGGCTAAGGCTAAAAACTGCATCCTTGATTTCTTTGTCCTCTGGAATTTTGCTCAACATGTTGTTGTCCTCACTTGAGATGCAATGAGGAATACAATCCAGAATAGAATTGTTGATCACAGGAGGAGTAAGGTTGAAGATTGTTTGAAAATGCCTAACTGCTTTCTTGGCTATCTTCTCATCTCCCTTGATTCNAAGAACTGTCTGTCCTTAACTTTTGAACTTGGAACTCGAAGTTCAGGACCAAGTGTCCTTAACTTTTGAACTTGTAACTATAAGTTTAGGATCCATAATGTAGCAGAAAACCAAACTTTATTTGTATCTTTTCACAAAAAAGATAAAAATAATAATAATTGCAATTTACATATAAGATTGATGTCAAATTACACAACAGAAGGCTAATAACAAAAAGAAACAACTAAAAAAATAAAAGACTACAGAACCTAACCAACTAAAATAAAAAGAAAAATAAATAAAACTCAAAAAGTTTGTTTTCTAAAGTTTTCTGTTCTAATTTCCTGATAAAATCCTGAAAAGTCCTTCTTTGTTCCACATAAGGATGTCAAGACTTATTTTGTCAAATAGTTGGCAATACTTGAACGACCTGCTAACTGCCAAAAAATTTGAGGATTAGAAGAAGCATTGAAAAAGAAGAACAAGTGGCGTTGGAAAATATTCTTGGCGGAACAGATCAGCTAGGGTTCGAGAAGAAAAAGAGATAGAAGAAGGGTAACACCGTCTTTTCATATTATTTTTAATAGACTAGTGGCTACTTTTGCTCAACATTAAAATTGCTGAATAAAAAGTAAATAACACTTTAAAAAGTGGCTACCTCACGCAATTTTTACACGTTTTCATGCACTTTAAGGTCAAATAGGCCTAAAGTGCAAATTACCCAGAAACGGAAATTTGTTCTTCGAATTTTAACAATCCAATATACGATTTAACACTTAAATTTATTCCAAATAAGCTCAAATTTGAAAAATAACCTCCAAATATCATCAAGAACAAATCATAATCATCAATTTGTCAAAACAACAATAAATCTAACGAACCTATTTTGCAATTAAGAAAAAGAAAAAGAAGAAACCCTAAGCAATAGTAAAAAATAAAGCGCCACAACAGCTCACCACTATAAAACATCATATACTATCTTAAAATATGGTCACAACCACCATATAAATCATCAGCATTAGAAGAAGAAGAAGAGGAAGAAAGAGGAGAAAAAGATCTGAAGTTGTTTAAACAGCGGGTACAAGTTAAAAAAATAAAAATAAAAAGTGGGTACTGGTTAAATGGAGGCGACCAAATAGGGCGCCCGTGCAATTTTTACGGAATTAGGGGTGTACATGAACCGGGTTGGTTTGGGTTTTATCAAAACCTATATTGGTTTGGATTGGTTGGGTTTTATCGAATTTTTCGGGATTTTTTGGATTTTTTTTGGTCACATGAACATTGTTTCAATTTTACTTTGTTAAAGTTATAGATAAAGTTTTGATAAGTGAATATATGTTTAGTAAAAAGTAAAAAATTGACAAACATATGATTTATTAAAATATACTTATGGGAGAGTTTTTTAGTAACACATGGTAGTTAATTTATTAGTCGTCTAACAATAATTTTTCATTGATGTACGCTTTCAAGGTTAACCGAATTTAATAAATAAACATAAAAATCAATCTGCTACCTAAGTAATGATATGTTCTATGTAGTTTTAAATTATTGAAATACCATTCCAAATTCGAAAAAGATATAAGAAATCTTGACTTATGAATATGGAAGAACAAATAGATGATTGACACATTTCAATAACACTTGATAAGAAAGTGATATAAACTATTATTTAAAGTAAATAAAAATGAATACACTTCATAGTCTATTATATATACGTCCCGTGGAAGGATTGCAAATATTTCTAGATATTTGTTGTGAAGAAAATTCAATATTAAGTCTTAAAAGGTATAAAAAATTATATTTTTATATGCCGGGTTGGTTTGGGTTTTATACTCAATACCAAACCAAGTTAAATTAAACCTAATCGAATTTTTTAATCGGGTTGTACACATAAGAGAAGTAATTTAGGGAAAAGAGTTAAGTTCGACTAAGGCCTCATTTGTTTTTTTTAAGATTATGACATCTGAATCTGAATATACATCTGAATATCAAGATCCGTATTAAGATTAAGGCATCTGAATCTGAATACACAACTGAATATATTAAGATGTGTATTAAGATCTGACTAGAAATTATTAAGACTGTTTGATTTTTAACATCTGAATGTATACAATTTATCTTTATTTGAAAATTAATAAATATAAAATTCAAATAAAACAACTAATCTAATATTCTATCAATAAAATATATAGTTTTTAACATATGATAGTTGTTGGTGGTGGCGGCTAACGGGTGAATGCCGACTAGAGGCGGTGGTTGGTGGTAGTTTTGGTTGATGATGGTGGTTCATGCTAGTAGCTAGTAGTGATTGGTAGTGGTGGCGATTATGATTGAGGATGGTGGTGGCGTGGTCGGTGATAGTTAATAATGGTAGGTGGTGGTAGTAGTTATGAGTGAGGAAGGTGGTGGGTTGGTAGTGGTAGGTTGTAATGATGGGCAGTGTCGGATGTGATTGTTGATGGTGAATGGGCGGTCAGTTGTGGTGGATGAGTGTTGATCGTGGGGAGAATGATGGTGGTCGGAGTGGTGGGGATAGTGGGTGGTGATGGTCGATAATGGTGGCGGCTATGATTGAGGATGATGGTGGCGTGGTGGTGGTAGTTGAGTATGGTGGCGGCGGCGGCATAGTGGTAGTTGACAATGATAGGCGGTGACGGCAGTTAATAATGAATATGTGATAGCATCTTAATGAAACTAAGTCTCTATTATAGATCTTAATCATACAGACCTATTCAGACCCATTAAGTAGTTGTGAAGTAAAAAAAACAAACACACTTAATGATTAAGATCCGAATAATTAAAATTCAGACTTTAAAAGCAAACACACTTAATATCTGAAATCTGAATGATTAAGATTCAGACCTCCATTAAATGCAAACAAATGAGGCCTAAGAATAATTTCGAGAAATCAATGTCATCAATCACCCATTCTAACCTTCAAGTAGCTAGGGAGCCTACTCTTTTTCTTCTTGCAAAACAAAGTTGAGCCACATAACTTCACTTATTTATTCACTAACTTTACTTCATGCATGATCATTGTCATTGCATTTGTCACAAAACTATTCTTTAATCATTAAAGCCACTGAAATTTACTCGTTATATCAATTAAGTCACGATGCTATGTTTATGTTATCTATAAAGTCATAAACTTTACCCATTGAATCAGTAAAGTGACAACTATCTTTTTATATCATTGAAATAACTAAAATATATATTTATTTCTTACAAAAAAAACTTACCGGGAAGTAAAATTTCTGGCACCAAAAATTGAAAAATGACAGACTCATTCCTAGTTTACATCCTAATGGCGTAAAGGTTTCGATTCTTTATTCGGGGCTGTGAATAATTTGGTATTTCAATATTCAACATGTTATTTGATTTAAGTTTTTTAAAAATATGATAATTGGTAGTATTTATCTAAATATCAAATGCATAATATCATATCGAAATACATCCTAACTTACACGAGACACATATATTGGACGACCTTACTTGTGCTTTATTCAAAGAATTAGTCAACCTGTCAAAAGACTGGTTCCTTTTTCTCAAAGGACATTTCCTTGTTCTCTCGGAGTTCTTCCAATTTGTTATTCCTTTTGCTGGAATGGGTTGGTGATTTCACTATTAAATTTCTTTGTCTGGATTTTAAGAGAACTTATATCTTCGTTTTCTTGCTTTTGCTATCTTAGTTTATTACTTTCAAATCTTCTTCATAGTTTGAGATGGCGGGCAAGCAAGCTAATTACTAAACAAATGTTACAATTCTCTTTTCAAGTAGAACAAATTGCACTTTACTGAACCGATTAAACTAAAACCAAATTGCACAAAAATCAAAAATAATGAATTTAATTAGGTATGATAATATTATAGCAATTTAAGAAAGTGAATACCAAAACTACCGAACCAAAGTATTTCAAAGTCGTACCAAACCAACCGATGAACATCTTAGTTCTAAGAGCCCGTTTGACTTAGCTGATTTAGAGTAGCTGATAAGCATTAGGTGTTGAAAAACACTTTTAGGTGCTGAAGCTGATTTAAAAAATAAGCAGTTACGTGTTTGCATAAAAGTGTTGAAATTGATAATAAACAGCTGAAGAACTGGGTATACGAAGAGTTTTGTTTTCAAAAAAAGTATTTTAGGGATTGAATAGTCAATATTTTGGTCAAACCTAAAGTGCTTATAAGCTGAAATTTGATAAGTTGGGGGAGACCAACTTATGGCTTTTGGCTTATTTTTGGCTTATAAGCACTTTTAATTTTACCAAACGCGTAGATAAGCCAAAAATTACTTATAAGCCAGTTTGACCAGCTTATAAGCTTAGCCAAATACCCTCTAACTCTTTTCCCCCCCTCTTATTTTGGACCACAAAAGAAAAATATAGAATTTGAGCAAAAATTAATTCGATTTTATTTACAACATCGATAAAGTTAAAAATTATTGTTATTCCAACCGAAGGAATAACAAACTGGAATTTTAACAGATTGGACTCATTTAATTATATTTACAATAACAATAACATTTCAATTAATTTTTATCCCGTTAAATTATTTGAATTTTTAGTGTTATAGATGATAAATTTTTTTGACTTTTACTATTATGGCGTTTAAAGTTCAATTATACTGTGATAAAAATAATTCTGCAATTTTGTTAGTACTATACTTTTAAATTAATTTAATGATAAAAAGGTGGCTTGTTAGAAGACTTTAATTAACGATACCTACATAATATTCATTCTCATATTCAAATTCATAGTTTCTCCGATCACTTGCGTCGTATCAATTCAAGTTTTTGAATGGATTCTCCGCCGGAGAACGACGCCGCCAAGAGCCTGAAGCCTGTTGCGTCATTCTACTCCGATTACCTCTGGAACCGAATGCGCAGCCTCCTTCCCGCCGCTTTCAGCTCGAATTTCCTCAGCAGAATTTCAAACCTTTACCGCGGCGGCAGCAACACTCGCTCCAGAAAACGACGCCCTAGAAATACTTGCCTCCCCCTTCCTTTGCCTTCTCCCTCTACTTCGCCTGAATCCTCTGTGTAAGTCGTCTATACTGTTTATATATAGCACACTGTATGAGCAATCAGAGGCGGAGCGTGATTTGAAGTTTATGGGTGCTGAATTTGCCACCAAATCCACAGCTTGGTTTAGTTACTGGGTTCTCATTTAAATGTTTATACATATTAATGAGTTCCTAATACAAATATAGAGTCTAAGGAGAAGTTACTAGGTTCGTCCAAACCGGTAACTCATTCTCTAGCTCCGTCCCTGTGAGCAATATTATTTTTTGGGAAATGTTTCTAATGATAGGTCCATACTTGAACAAATATGCAGGGTTGTATCTGAGGCATCTAGAATTTTTGATGTCTTGGAGGACATCATGGAGCATATCTTTCTAAATTTGCACTACATCCAAAAGAACCTAGAATTTTGGCAATCTAAAGCAGAGGTTAGTCATCATAAGAATTTAGCTTATATAGATAATTTTTCATGAGTGACAGACTTGAAGTTTTATTATAACTTTGTTTTCCTTGGAAATTGTTTGCCCTAAATCTTTAGATACGTTTAACATCAGGGATCAAATGCTCAAAAAGCTTACTTCATGGTATGTGAGCGAGGACCATCTGCATTTATTAATGGCATAGTACAACTGATTCATGATTATGTTGGAGATGGTTCGGTGGTGCAGCACTCATATTGTATGGCATCGTCATACATATCTGAAAGGATAAATGTCCTGATTAGCTTAAGATACCATTTAGCTACATTTTTGGCGCAGGTACGTTGATTTTTACTTGGTGTCTAGGTTAACATTAAACATGTAATGGAATTTCACTTTATTTATATGCTCTTTTATGTTTTGATTTGGACTTGCTATCTATTTTCTCCTTTCATGATCATTTTCTTATATGTCAAACATGATTTTGTATGAAAGACAATGGGCTCCGTTAGACATCTTAAAGATTGGCTAGGCTTCTAAGCGGGAGTCAAAAGATTTCAATTTTAGGCGGCAACTGGAATATGTCCCATATGAATCAAGCTTCCAGACTCTGTTTGATTCCCCAATTAATGTACTCGATCTTTGGCATTGTGATTATCTAGTGCACTCGTTATTTCATCCTTCATGAACCACATTGCTTTAGCGTACATCCCAGTTTCTTTGTTATCAGCGGAAATGTTCCACGGGATGACTTTATTCTCATTACCTTTTTCTCCTTTATATTCCTTCATCTATAAACTGATCCTTTAGTGAATGCTTTCAATGTGAAAGAAAAACAGAATCAAATAGAGCTAATATAAAGTTTATTAACATGGTTACGCTTGAAAGTAATTCTTTGTGCACCATCATACTCCCTTTGTTTCACTTTATGTGAAGGCATTTGACTAGACATGGAGTTTAAGAAAGACTTGAAACTTGTGGTTTTGAATATGCTTTAACATTTTTGTGGCTAAAAAAACCGTATCATTAAGGGAGCATACTAAAAAGGAAATAGTATCGAATAAAATAGAACAGAGGGAGTGATTACTCTTCTAGAAGGCTTTTGACTTCTTGACGAGATCAAGCAATTTATGGATTAATGCAATTATATGAAGCCCATACTTATAAAAGGAGAATTTGCTTTGATCAATATTGATATATGGGTTATCCAAACGCACAAATGTTTTGCTTTTGGCTTCAAATGATCCAACTTTTCCCATTGGTGCTCGTTTCTTCTTCTATCATGTTTAGAATTTAAATCTTCATATCTAGTATGAGTGTATATTGAACAAATAATCTCCCAAACGAGTCGGTAACTATCGGTGGAAAATAGGAAAGGGAATGGAAAGAAAAGAATTAATAAGAGGGAAAGTAGAAGTGAATATAAGTACAAAAGCCTTAGGGCTCTGGTGTAGTGGTAAGAGTGCAATGCGTAATGTGCGGGTTAGGCGCATGTCACGGGTTCGAACTTTGCCGTAGACAAAAGCTTGGTCTTTAAGTGTATAAGAGTAGAGGGGCAGACCCATTATGCAACGAGTTACGAATTGTGTACAATTGGCCTTGGGGATTTTTCGTTTATAAAAAGAAAGAGAGAAAATGAGGATAAAAATTGGTGTACCCAAAAATGGAAATTTTTCTCGCTGTTACATACTCTTTAGGAAGTGTGATATAGGTTTATGCACAGACTTCAACTTTATCCTGGTTAAGAATCTCACGACCTAACATAGGCTCTTGGTAATGGACCTAGAGATTAAGAGGAAGAGGAAAAAGAGGGCTATGTATGGTGGACCAAAGATAAAGTAGGGAGCCTTGACTAAGGACAAATCTCAGAGTTAGGAGAGAAGTTGTTGGATATAGGGGCCTGGAGGAGTAGTGGTGAACAAGTATTATATGGACCAGGACAGTGAATTGTATTAGGGAGCAATTAGAGAAGTGTTAGGGACTCGAAGGGTTGCTCTAGTGGACACAAAGAGGACTGGTGGTGGAAATGGAGAGATCCGAGGGAGAGTGAAAGCCAAAAAGGCGGCATATTTGAAGTTAGTGGGGAGCAAAGACGAAGAAGAGAGGAGGACGAATATGGAGTGGTATAAGACGGCTAAGAAGGAGGCAAAGTTAGCGGTTACGGCGTTGAAGAAGACAGCGTTTAAACGCATGCATGAGGAACTTCGGGATAAAGACGGGGACAAGAAGCTGTACAAGCTAGCCAAGGTGAGGGAGAGGAAGCCCCGTCACCCGAACCAAGTGAAGTGCATAAAAAATGAGAAAGACAAAGTATTGGTGGAAGAGGCACATATTAGACGAAGATGACAGACTTACTTCCACAAACTCCTGAATGAAGAAGGAACATGGATATTGTGTTGGGTGATTTGAAACACTCCGAGAGTCGTTGAGATTTTGGGTATTATAGGCGTATAAAAGTTGAAGAGGTAAGGGGGCTATACGTAAGAGGAGTAGGGGAAGAACGACTAGTCCAGACGAGATCCCGGTGAAATTCTAGAAGAGCGTGGGTAGGGCAGGTTTGGAGCGGTTAGCTGGGTTAATTAATGTCATTTTTAGGACGGTAAGTATGCCCGAAGAATGGAGGTGGAGTACAATGATTCCGTTGTACAAGACAAGGGTGATATTCAAAGTTGCAACAACTATAGGGGTATCAAGATGCTAAGCCACATTATAAAAGTTTGGGAAAGGGTGGTGGAGATGAGGGTGAGGAGGAGTGTGTCTATTTCCGAGAATTAGTTCGGATTCATGCCGGGGCAATCTACTATAGGAGTCATTCATTTTGTAAGGAGATTGGTGGAGTAGTATAGGGAGAGGAAGAGGGACTTGCATATGATATTTATTGATCTAGAAAAAGCATACAACAAAGTCCCAAGTGAGGTTCTACGGAGATGTTTGGAGGCTAGAGGTGTACCTGTTGCATACACTACCCAATCGAAGACATATGATGGAGCTAAGACTCGGGTTAAGACAGTTGGAGAAGATTCGCGATATTTCCCAGTTGTGATGGGGTTGCACCAGGGATCAGCCCTTGGCCCATTTTTATTTGCCTTGGTAATGGATGAATTGACGCGACGTATCCAAGGGGAGGTGTCATGGTGTATATTATTTGCAAATGCTATAGTACTGATTGACGAGACTCGACATGGTGTTAACACTGGAGGTTTGCAGACAGATCCTGGAGTCTAAAGGTTTCAGGTTGAGCAGGATTAAAACAGAATATTTGGAGTGCAAGTTCAGTGACGTAACTCATGAGGCTGACGTGGAAATGAGGCTGAATACAGAAATCATTCCTAAGAGAGGAAGTTTCAAGTATCTCAGGTCTGTAATTCAAGGTAATAGGGAGATTGGTAACGATATCACACACCGTATTGGCGCGGGGTGTATGAAATGGAGGCTCACATCCAATATCTTGTGTGATAAGAATGTGCCACAAAGACTTAAAGGTAAGTTATACAGAGTGGTGGTTAGACCGATGATATTGTATTGGGCGGGTGTTGGTCAGAGAACTTTCATGTCCAGAAGATCAGAGCAGTGGAAATGAGGATGTTGAGATAGGAATGAAGATATTCGGGACAACGTGGGAGTAGCTTCTGTGGTGGACAAGATGAGGGAAGCAAAGCTGAGATGGTTCGAACACATGAAGAGGAGATGCACAGATGCCCCAGTGAGGAGGTGTGAGAGGTTGGCATTGGTGGGTCTAAGGAGAGGTAGAGGGAGGCCAAAGAAGTATTGGGAGAGGTGATTAGGCAGGACATGACTCATCTTTAGCTTACCGAGGACATGTTCCTTGATAGGAGGGTGTGGATGCACAGATGCCCCATTGAGGAGGTGTGAGAGGTTGGAATTAGTAGGTCTAAGGAGAGGTAGAGGGAGGCCAAAGAAGTATTGGGGAGAGGTGATTAGGCAGGACATGATTCATCTTCAGCTTACCGAGGACATGATCCTTGATAGAAGGGTGTGGAGGTCGAGAATTAGTGTACAAGGTTAGTAGGTAGTCGAGCGTTTTTCCTTTCCTAACTGTAGTACTAGTATTATTCTCGTATTTCTATATTCTTAGATTTATATTAGTCGTGATATTTTTTCTGCTTCCGTTTTCTTATTATCTTGCTTCTGTTACTGCTTCTTTTTTCATGGCTTCTTCGCTACCGTATTTTTGTACACCTTGAGCCGAGGGTCTATCCGAAACAGCCTTGCCACCTGTACAAAGTAGGGGTAAGGTTGCGTATACTCTCCCTTTCCCAGACCCACTTATGGAACGACTTTGGGTATGTTGTTGTTGGTATTGTTGTTGCTTTCCATTTTTTTTTTGTGTTAGATCAAACAAGAGAAAATATTGTCTTCGCTTCCGCATTTAATGACCAAAGCACAAGTGTCACATGACTTTACCATTGAAGTAACTTTAATTACTGTGTGACATAAGCTAGCTTTCAATTCATATCTTCCACAATTTCTGTTGTAGGTCTACATGGAGGTTGACAAAGCTGGAAATGAATTAGTTAAGGACCCTGAGAAATCATTATCCTCGTTACTGGTTGCTATAAATGAACTATTTCTGAAATTGGAGGCATCAATTGGTCACTTCCATGCAATGCGTCAGGTGAAAAAAAGCTGTGTAATGTTAAATTGTCTACTTAGACGTCTGGAAATGGCATATGCATTGGTTATACTAGTAATTACACTATTTCTTTTTCACATTTTTCTAGCTACTTCTGCAGAAATCTTCTGTTGACGAGAGCTATTCTTTTCCCTTGATCTTGGAGAAACTTCCGGTGGTAAATCAAGAGGGGTCTCGTTGGACTGATTGCGAGATTAAAGATGCTATCAATTTGATTTATCAAAACCTAGATAAGTTAGACTCCTATCTATCTGCAATAGTAAGAGTTCTCTACCAAATTTATTCCCTTTGACTTGCAATCCGATAGTTTTACAATTTTATCTTCACCATCTGGATGTATTCTTATGTTTAAAAACATAGATTTCCTTCTAAAAAAACACAGATTTATTTTCGTCACTATCAATTTATCAATTTTGACTGCTAGTTCTATCAAAAGAACTATACTCTCACATAATTATCAGGCCACGACCATTATGGTGGATGAGTGCCATACCGTGATAGCTGGTGTAATGATTATATTGCGCTTCTGTCACCAAAAATGAAGAAGAAGGAATTGACAAATTAAAGTTACCTAAACTTTTAGCTTTTCTGAAGTAACATCTCTTTTTAATTGCAGACGTTTATCTTAGCTGTGACTCGTTGATTTGTTTTTGGAGTGAATTATCTTAGGTTTGCATCTATTGAAGCTTCTTTTTCACTGAGAATCTAATTGGTTGTATAAGAGATGTGCACATAGTTATCTTAAATACAATATATAAGGAGACAATCTATGCAAGGGGGAAACATGATGACTTTGCTTCTGTTTGTTTTCAACTCCTTGCTGAATTAAATCTGGAATAGTGATTCTTATTATCTTCCAATTCCAAGTGGCTGCCTTGATACAGAGCAGAGGCAGATTCAGGATTTAAGCTTTATGGGTTCAACCTTTAAGTTTTTTAGCATTGAACACATTATATTGTTAAAGTTATGGATTCATATCAACTATTTGTTGTAATTATAGTGAATTTTAACAAATAAATTTATGTTCCGCTTTGAAAACTCTGAGTTCAGATGAACCCGGTACTAAAGAGAGCTGGATATGCCCCTGGTACAGAGAATTTAGAGAAAAAAATGATACTTCGAAGAGATTTTAGGGTTATCTTTTGGCTTTACGGAGGAATATACCAATGGAATAGATCTGAGAGTTGATAAAGATGAGGGCAATGGGTGAACGGAAAAGGTTGAAAGGGAAGGTGATGTAAGAAAACGAGAAAGATTAGGAGGATGTGAATCCAATAACTGAAAAGCTTGATCAGTTATTATAGTTAGCAAATAACACAGCAGTGTTTTTGCAAAAGATTGTGGCCATCTGTTGAATTCGTCACATTTTAAATTGGTGGCTGTTCCTGCAGGCTTTAATCTCCTGATGCCTCTAAATTCTTTTCTTTTCCTCTTATGGGTTGTAGGTTGTGTGCAACTGAACATGTGTAACACACACACACAATGGGGGGTGGGTGGGGGGCTTACTCGCATGCAGCCATCCATCTTGCTTCTTGCCTTATTTGAGACTATAAGGCAGACAGTGGACTCTTACATTAGGTAAGGGAAGAAGGGACTGAAGTAATTTCTTATATCAAGATATGGTTTTCTGGATATAGATCAAAATGGAATCCCCAAAAACCAAAAAGGAAATTTAGTGGGTTGGCTAGATTTCAGCAAGAAATTAAGCCGTGACCGCTGATGGGTAAAAGATTGATAAGTATGCGTGGAGTCTTATTATTTTTTTTTTGGGATTTTATAGCCATTTGATTTCCAGAGAATACAAATATTTGTAAAGGCAATGTGTTCTTTTGTGGTCTTTCTGTTATTTGTCTATTCTTTGAAGGGCTTACATTTTTGTGATTCATCAACTTCTGTAGGTTTTCATTCACAGAAAGCCCAGGAGAGTCGCTCGTTACTGGATGCGCTATACCTTTGGGATTGTTGGCATCTCTGTGTGTTCATTGTGGCTTCTGCGGCACAGCAGTTTTGCAGGTAGCTCTGACATTGACAACTGGATTCATGAGGCAAAGAAGTCAACAGTTAGCTTTTGGAATGACCATGTAGAGCAACCGGTAAGCTGCTTCGATTTACTATTTTTGACTTGGTATCCTTCCTATGATAGTTGAGATCGAAATAGCTTTTTCTGAGTTCCTACTTGGCATTGCTGAACGTGCTTTGTTTCATTAGCTTTCAGAGTCTACTGGGATTTGTTTATATTATCACGCTCCAAGTTTGCAATCCTTTGTTGACATTTCTAAATTGTTTACATCTTATGTTTTTTTTGGTGCAAAATTAATGTTGTAAATTAGCATAGATGTTAGGAGAATTATTAATAACTAGAGAACAGAGAAGATGCTAGGACAACAAGGCAATCTAACGACAGTGCCAATGTGCTTTCTAGATAGCATTAAAAGAACATATGTATTTCATATACTTTTTGGTGTAGGGAGAAAATACCAGTGTGTTTTGTTGACTGGTAATGTCATTTAGTGTGTAAACTTTGACATTGTCTTGGTATGTGTTAGTTTCATTGTATAAATAGTAGTAAATAACCCTAATCCCATATGTATTAGGAGTAGGACATGTATTGTGTATATATAAGGCTCATTGTATCATTGTCATATTAATCAATAATAGATTTTTCTCCCGTGCATTCTCACATGGTATCAGAGCAACCGTGAGAAATTTATCGTTGTGCGTCATTCCAGCTATATCCGGGAAGAAAGAACTCAGTCACCGTGCAATTTTCCGGTGACCTAAGTGACTAATTGCGTCAAAGTCACTAATAATCAGTGTTGTGCAAAATCCAACACCACCACAAGGTTCCCAAGAGAGATCCGACCAAATCCCAGAAAAAATCACCGGAAAATAGCAAGCCACGCGCCGTCACGCGCCTGTCGGAGCTCTGCCGCCGGCGGCGCGTCTGTCCCACGCGCCGGCGCGTGAGACCCCTTCCAGTCAGATTTTGAAAAAGTTTCTTCAGAACAACTTCATCTCCTTGCAATTCCGAGTCCATTGGTACTATTTCCGACAGATTCCGACAACTTTGGAATTTTCCGGCGAGCTACAGTGATTTTTCCGGCGTGAACAGTGATCCCCAGCAATTTCCTGCTTTTTCCGGCACGATATTATAATGGAATTCGTACCTGAAGCCTTTAACTCACAATCCGTTGGATTAAATGCAATAAATCCAATCCAGATGGTTTCTTTACCGGATTATATTGAGTTCCTTCAGTACAAAGCACGTAAACAGACATCTTCAGGATTAACCTCCGTTGTTCCAACAAATAGTAGCATGACTGGTGTCTCCCAATCTTCACCTTCTGAGTCTTGGGTCATTGATTCAGGTGCATCTGATCATATTTCTGGTAACAAATCTCTTTTCACTAGTATCTCATATTCTCAATCTCTTCCAACAGTCACAATGGCCAATGGGTCTCAAGCCATGGCAACTGCAATAGGTCAAGCAAGTCCACTTCCTTCCTTACTTTTAGACTCAGTTCTTTATGTTCCTGGTAGTCCTTTTAATCTCATAGCCGTTAGTCGCTTAGACAAATCACTTAAATCTGCTGTTTTATTTCTTGATGACCTTGTTTTTATACAGGAACGCAGTACAGGGCGGATCATTGGTACCGGTACCTTATCCTTGCAAAATCACATGGACTCACATCTTGTCTTCCTCCAATAACTTCTCCCGTTACTGATTTACCAGATTTATTACATAAACGGTTAGGACGTCCCAGTTTGTCAAAACTTCAGAAAATGGTACCTGGCTTATCTCACTTGTCCACTCTAGAGTGAGTCGTGTCAGCTTGGTAAGCATACCCGCTCTCATTTCCCGCGGTGTCTTGACAATCGAGCAGAGTCACCTTTTACTTTAGTCCATTCAGATGTTTGGGGTCCTAGTCGGGTTAGCTCTACCTTAGGATTCCGCTACTTTGTCAGTTTCATTGATGATTATTCCAGGTGCACTTGGATATTTTTGATGAAAAATCGATCTGAGTTGTTTTCTATTTTTCAGACCTTCCATGCTGAAATTCAAAATCAATTTGGGGTTTCTATCCGCACATTTCGTAGTGATAATGCCCTAGAGTATTTGTCTTCCCCATTTCAGCAATTTATGAACTCCCATGGGATTATTCATCAAACATCTTGTCTGTACACATCCCAACAAAATAGGGTAGCTGAAAGAAAGAATAGACATCTTATTGAAACTGCTCGTACCCTACTCATACAATCTCATGTTCCGCTGCGTTTTTGGGGGGATGCAGTTCTTACATCTTGTTATCTTATTAATCGTATGCCATCTTCAGCTATCCAAAATCAAGTTCCATTCTCTGTCCTGTTTCCCCACTTACCTTTGTTCTCTCTTCCACCCCGTGTCTTTGGGAGTACGTGCTTTGTTCATGACCTTACTCCAGGAAAAGATAAGTTAGCTCCTCGTGCTCTTAAGTGCATATTTCTGGGTTACTCGAGAACGCAAAAGGGATATCGATGTTATTCTCCTGACTTTCAGCGATTTCTTATGTCTGCTGATGTTACCTTCTTTGAAACCCAATCATACTTCACAGGTCCAGTTAATCACTTAGATATTTCTGAGGTGCTACCTGTTCCTTCTTTTGGAGATTCAGTCCCTATCTCCCATTCATCTCCCTCCATAGCTCCACCGCCTACAGTTCCAATTACAGCTCCACCACCTATAGCTCCAGTATCACCACCAAGTCCAGTGCCACCACCTAGTCCAGTTCCACCAACTATAGATCCAGTGCCACCACCTAGTCCAGTTCCACCAACTATAGCTCCAGCGCCACCACCTAGTCGAGTTCAACCTTCTACAGCTCCACCACTCCTGACTTATCATCGTCGTCCGCCCCCAGCATCAGGCCCAGCTGATTCACGTCCTGCACCTGACCCTGCTAATACTGCGGACTTGTCTCCTCTTAATCAACCGATTGCACTACGAAAAGGTATACGGTCCACAGTTAATCCTAATCCTCATTATATCGGTTTAAGTTACCATCGTCTCTCATCATCCCATTGTGCATTTGTGTCATCTTTGTCCTCTGTTTCCATTCCTAAGTCTACAGGTGAAGCACTGTCTCATCACGGATGGCGACAGGCTATGATTGACGAGATGTCTGCTTTACATACGAGTGGTACTTGGGAGCTTGTTCCTCTTCCTTCAGGTAAATCGACTGTTGGTTGTCGTTGGGTGTATGCAGTCAAAGTTGGTCCAGATGGCCAGGTTGATCGACTTAAGGCTCGTCTTGTTGCCAAAGGATATACTCAAATATTTGTACTCGATTACAGTGATACTTTCTCTCTCGTGGCTAAAATTGCATCAGTCCGCCTTTTTCTATCCATGGCTGTTGTTCGCCATTGGCCTCTCTATCAGTTGGATATTAAGAATGCTTTTCTTCACGGTGACCTTGAGGATGAGGTTTGTATGGAGCAACCACCTGGTTTTGTTGCTCAGGGGGAGTCTAGTGGCCTTGTATGTCGGTTGCGTCGGTCCCTCTATGGTCTAAAGCAGTCTCCTCGAGCCTGGTTTGGTAAGTTCAGCACAGTTATTCAAGAGTTTGGCATGACTCGTAGTGAAGTTGATCACTCTGTATTTTATCGACATTCTGCTTCAAATCTCTGTATTTATCTGGTCGTTTATGTTGACGATATTGTTATTACCGGCAATGATTAGGATGGTATTAGTAAGTTGAAACAACATCTCTTTCAGCACTTTCAGACTAAGGATCTGGGCAGATTAAAGTATTTTCTGGGTATTGAGGTCGCTCTGTCAGCTCAGGTATTGTGATCTCACAACGGAAGTATGCCTTAGATATTCTTAAGGAGACAGGAATGACAGGTTGTAAGACCTGTTGACACTCCGATGGATCCGAATTCTGAACTTCTGCCAGGACAGAGGGAGCCTCTTAGCGATCCTGCAAGATATAGGCGGTTGGTTGGTAAATTAAATTACCTCATAGTGACTAGACCTGACATTTCCTTTCCTGTGAGTGTTGTGAGTCAGTTTATGGATTCTCCCTGTGATAGTCATTGGGATGCAGTTGTCCGCATTCTTCGTAATATAATTTCAGCTCCAGGCAAAGGCTTATTGTTTGAGGATTGAGGCCATGAGCAGATCGTTGGATACTCAGATGCTGATTGGGCAGGATCACCTTCTGATAGACGTTCTACATCTGGATATTGTGTCTTAGTAGGAGGAAATTTGGTGTCTTGGAAGAGCAAGAAACAGAATGTGGTTGCTCGGTCTAGTGCAGAAGCAGAATATCGAGCAATGGCTATGGCCACATGTGAGCTAATTTGGATCAAACAGTTGCTCAAGGAGTTGAAATTTAGTGAGATTAGTCAGATGGGACTTGTTTGTGATAATCAAGCTGCTCTTCATATTGCGTCAAATCCAGTGTTCCATGAGAGAACTAAACACATCGAGATTGACTGTCACTTTGTTAGAGAAAAGATACTCTCGGGAGATATTGCTACAAAATTTGTGAAGTCGAATGATCAGCTTGCTGATATTTTCACCAAGTCCCTCACTGGTCCTCGTATTAGTTATATATGTAACAAGCTCGGTACATATGATTTATATGTACCAGCTTGAGGGGGAGTGTTAGTTTCATTGTATAAATAGTAGTAAATAACCCTAATCCCATATGTATTAGGAGTAGGACATGTATTGTATATATATAGGGCTCATTGTATCATTGTCATATTAATCGATAATAGATTTTTCTCCCGTGCATTCTCACCTAAAATATTTTTGATTTTTCAAAAGATAAAACCAGTGTTGTCAAAAGCGAAAAGCGCAAAGGATCGCTAAAGCCCTGTTGGAGCTTAAAGCGCAAAGCACACTTAAAGCGTGGGCTTCACTGAAAAAACCCGCACTATGAAGAATTTTTTAAATATATATGTAATATATTTAGAGAACATAATAGACGCATAAATGATAAATATTTATAGCTTATAATGAAGTAAAACTTCAATCATCAACTTAAATCTTAATACGGAAAGATAAACCCATTCTTGATTCTACTTATAAGCACTAAAATAATATTCC